ATAGAACTCCACAGGGTCTCCACCATCACATGAGAAGGCTTGGCCATGAAACTCCAGAAAACTTTGAAGCCATTCCAAAAATGATCAAAGATAAATTAGCACAGAGAAAAAAGTGTCCTCATTGCTCGCTCCTTACATCATCTGTTGCCTCTGATACTGAGGAATGTGAAGACCAGCCTGACTGCACCTGTAAATGGGCCGTGTGTAAAACGTGTGGGAATTCTTACAGGAAAGTTAGCTCGTTGTTGTCTCACATGAAAAAAATGGGACATCAAAGTAATGATAAATATATACAGTCCGAACGTGAAAAGGTTACCTCTTCATTTAAAGCGTGCCTAAGGTGCAACAGCAATGATGATAGGTTTTGCATCTTTTGCAACAAACGGGAGAACTTTGTCTACCATCACATAAGGACACACCATCAGGATCAACTGATCATGCTGCTTAGTGATGAAAATATGATGACTATTGATGAATATCAAGTGAACAATTTAAAATATGAATGCAGTATTTGTCTTAGAAGATTCTTACACACGCCAACACTCCGTTGCCATGTGCGAAAGGTCCATCCACACCATTATTTCACTTTGCAGTGTTTGAGTTTAGAAAATGACAATCTCACAGTGAATGACTTTGCTGTCAGAGAGAAAATTAGAGTTATTGGTGCTGTGCCTTCAAAGAATCCGATGCCCTGGAAGGAACAGCCTAGTACCAGCAAAATGTCTATTCCACAGTTCACAGATTCTAATGTTTCAAAACATGTTAAATATCAGAAATCAGGTAGAAATAGTCAAAGAAAGAAAAAAATATGTCTGTCGGAAATATAGAGATAGTAAAGAAAAAACTAGGGACTGTGAGATTGAAAAATCAATATGTCTTTCTCAGGAATGTGTGTAATGTTTAACTGCAGTAATTTATACACTTTTACATCATTTCTGGATGGAAATTTAATATGAAATGAAAAAAGTCTTACTGCATTATCATTTATAACCTATTAGATTATATTGAAAAGAACTTCATGGCCTGAATTTTAATAGTACTAATAATCAAAGTAATGATACTCTCTCTCTCTCTCTCTCTGTCTCTCTCTCTCTCTCTCTCTCTCTCATTCTCTCTCTCTCTCTCTCTCTCTCTCTCTCTCTCTCTCTCTCATCTCTCTCTCTCTCTCCTGTGTGTGTTGGTGTTGTGTGTGTGTGTGTTGTGTGTGTGTGTGTTGTGTGTGTGGTGTGTGTGTGTGTTGTGTGTGTGTGTGTGTGTGTGGTGTGTGTGTGTCCGTGTCCGTGTCCGTGTCCGGTCCGTGTCCGTGTCCGTGTCCGTGTCCGTGTCCGTGTCCGTCCCCTCTTCTTAATCATCCTGTCTTTTCAATGTAGCCACTTGATGGCCCCTCCCCCACCCTTTGCCCAGGAGAGTACCAAGTACTCATATGTGATATACAAAACCCACACTTGGCAAAATATATAGGGAAGGGCCATAAAGTCTGTGTTGAAAATATGACTCTGTTGGCTCTGGATAAGAAATTACAGTTCATTTATACAGACCTACTAAGCATTGAAGGCAAGAGTTACAGCAGAAGTTACCAATTTTACTTATTAGACTTGAAAAAAGAAAATCAGTGACCATTAAAGAAAAATCTAATTAAAGGTATTTATTGTAATGAATACCCACCTACAAATTTGAATTCATGATGTGGAATGAACTTGTAATACTAATATTCCGAATCTGATTACATTACAGACAAAATTATATGATAATTTGCAGCAGCAGGTATGGCAAATTCACATTACAACACCACTTTAGAAATACATGCTAGATAACAAGACAATTTGTATGCATATTTCATTTTGTTAACTAAGATAAGTAATTTGAATAACATCTATTTATGTGGACACTCACTCATTCTCTCTCTCTCTCTCTCTCTCTCTCTCTCTCTCTCTCTCTCTCTCTCTCTCTCTCTCTCTCTCTCTCTCTCTCTCTCTCTCTCTCTCTCTCTCTCTCTCTCTCTCTCTCTCTCTCTCTCCCTGCTCTCTCTCTCTCTCTCTCTCTCTCTCCCTCTCTCTCTCTCTCTCTCTCTCTCTCTCTCTCTCTCTCTCTCTCTCTCCTCTCTCTCTCCTCCCTCCCTCCCTCCCTCCCTCCTCCTCCCTCCCTCCCTCCCCCTCCTCCTCCCTCCCTCCCTCCCCCTCCTCTTTCCCTCTCCTCTCTCTCTCTCTCTCTCTCTCTCTCTCTCTCTCATCTCTCTCTCTCTCTCTCTTCTCTCTTCTCTCTCTCTCTCTTCTCTCTCTCTCTCTCTCTCTTCTCCTCTCTCTCTCTCTCTCTCTCTCTCTCACATCTGTTCCTTTCATTCCTTCCAACTTCCTCTCTGCATATATCTTTCTCGGTTTAAATTAGTACCAGGAGTAAAAAGTTTCTTTATTATTGTCATAAATTATATCAATTGCTCATCTGCATAACATATTCCAACCGTGCTAGAAATCAAAATGTAAATAATTAAAGTTTGTAGGATTTATTAAAAGTACAATGAGCACCTGGGAGAGGTAACAGAACAGAAATAGTATTCAGAGATTTTTATTTCAGGGACGGTGAGGGATGTCGAAAGAAAATAGCCAAATCAATTTATATGAAGTTCAAAGGGAGATGTATGTCAAGTAAAAGGGAAGGATAGAGGAACTGGGTATGGAGAATCTAGTGCAGAGGTATACATGCGTACGACTGCATGAAATAGAAAACAAAAAGTCTTACATTCAGAAAAGACGATGCTTTTTTTTTATTTATTTTTTATCATTATTTGTATTTATTATAATTTATTTATTTATTTTATTTTTATTTTTACTTGTAATTGTTATATCCATGTGCAATTCTCTTCTGTTGTCGTATTTCCATTCCAATCTTTGTTTATTAAGTGTTCTCTGTATTTTTGCCTATTTATTTTGTATTCGAAATTCCGTTCATTAATACGGATATTGTGTGAACGCCGATGAAAAAAGGTGATTATAATAAAATAATAATGTCCCCGATCCTAATAAGAATATCCATTGGCCTCGTTAGGTGACTAAAAGACCTATTATTATCTTCACCAATATATTTCACACAGAGTCTCGTCCACATTCGCTATATACATATAATCATTTATATTCACCCATATGCCAATTTACAAATCCCCGCCAAAAACAGTTGGACGTTTACTAGGATGCCGCCAACCCTTAATTTTAGGTATGTGTGGTGCCACAGATTTTACTTAAAATAAAATAATGACTATTGAT